TATGATATTTTCTTTGTATATATGTAGTTGCAGGCCTCTTTTAAGGTTACCAACCTTTTGGTTGGTGATGCTATTCAATGGGATTCTTGGGTTAGCTATCAGCTTCACTTCTATGTGGTTTCTTCATCAAACAGGGGCCACCACGTACAGTTTTGAACATTAAGTTTGCTCTATCTGATATCAATAATATTGCGCAAACTTAGAGTTTCTTGGACAGCGGTTACTGCATGTTATGGTTTCATAAAGGAATCCTGTTTTTAGCCAATAAATAGACTTTAAGCAGCTAGTGGACGAACTGTGGTTTTTTGCCCACAAGAACATGGGTGTGACTTCCTGTTAGTTGAGCCCTGATTGCTCCCTGAAGGGGAAGAAATTAAGAAAAACATGAATCGTAAGTACATATTGACTACAGAAATTTTTGATCTTATGTTGACATTTTCCATTAGTCTTTCCAACTCATTTTCAGTTTAAACACCTGAGTCCTAGTTGACAAAATTTTCAGACGAAGAGTATCTTGTTCACTCGAGTCATGTGTGAATTGTCACATGTCAGTAAAAGTGTGCTGCTTCTTGCAGCTTTCGTTTCACGTGTACTTCTATCACGTTTTGTTCTTCTTAGAACATTATACTATGTTTCATTTGTCTTGTATGTTGTGTTTTTAATTAAACGCCTTACCATCTTGTGGGCTTGGAAGCTGAACAAAACAATATTTCCAAATATCTTGATCTGAATTTTAATTCTCTCTGTGGTTCCATCTTGTTGCATGTAGTTATGTTAGGCTGAGGTTGGAGATAGCTTGCTCTCTTACACTTTTAGATATGCCGATATCTATAGGTTAAATCTTTTTGCCAACTTGCATGTACCTTCTATACTCAGACAATTATCTAAAATCATTTGCACTGTCAAAATATCATCAGTTCTTTTGTCGATTTCATGTTTTTCTTCTTAAAAGGTTTGTGTATTTTCCAAGTTGCATGATCAAATAATGTCGAACAGTAACACCCATAAATAAGTTTGGAATACTTGGACGATGGCCTAAGTTTCTATTTTTGATTGAGTCGTGCGGTCGTCATCACTGTTTTTAGCGTCTAAAAATGATTTGGTTTTAGCAATTTATACAGTCAAGGTTTGGTGCATGTATGTGTACAGAATAAAAGAAAAAAGGGAAGATGTGGGATTCGTAAATTACCAACAGCATACTTTTGTTACTGGCGAACTATTTAGCTGAAGATTTGTGAAGTCTAATAAGAAATTGTCCCATCTTTTATTTTCCTTTTCTCTACTCAAACACTCCCCCTCTCTCCCGTCTTGATCATAATTATCAAAGGATTCAAAAACTAAAAACTGTCCTTCTTGGTCTTCACCCATGAAAGAGTTGAATACACGTGTAGGAGATAATTAATTTTCGCAAGATGACTTTCAAAGAGGCATTTTAATGTGATAAGATGGTCCTACAATGGATTCTCATCATCTAAACAGCATGTGGATGACCCAGACGCCGGGTTCATGGAATAAGATCCCATTGTCTATTCCTGGCATCCTCCTATACAAACTACCAACTAGTTTGGAAAACTTTGCAAGCATCCTGAGGTAAATTTTCTCCCTCCAGTCTTAACTATACCAGGCACAACCTCAGAATAGCATGTCATGTGGTATTTTGTCTTGCAGGTCTTTTGGCTGGAGTGTTTTTTTCCCAGAACCAAAATTCCGGAGGGATCATAATTCCAAATTTTTAATCAAACACTTGTTGCACGGCTGTTCTACGCTTTTCGCCCATCAAAGACCATCGTCTCTATTTTACAGTTTGGTGAGAGGGAAACTAACTGCACTACACTGGTCATCAGCTCACTTTCTTCCTGTTGTTGAGGCTTTGTGTTCTACTTCTCTTTGCTTGAAAGAGAGCACTTTTGTGGGCTTAGTCAGTCGGGATGTTTTTGTTGTATTCTGAAAGAGGTCACTCGCTAATCGTGGAATGAGGAAATATATCGGATATATACTGTGTCGCTCGGGAGTGACTTTCATTTTGGCTGTATTGATGAAGAGAGCGACCCCTCTCTCCCTTCTTGGTCTTGATCCATCAAAGAGTTGATTATGCAAGGAGGAGATAATGGATTTTCGCATTTTCACTTCTATAGAGGCATATTAATAGAATGTGCATGTCACGTGCGACTTTCGTGCACGTGATATGCACGGAAGTCGCACGTGATATGCACGTGCTCACTGCCTGCTAAAATTTATGTTAAATAAAATGTTATTGAAAAGACAAATGTAAACTAGCTCATCCTTAAGCACCATCATTTTCCGAAATTAAAATATTATTGAAAAGACCTACTACTTTTCTTTGTTGACCCACGAAAGAAGAAGTCATGCATCTAGTATAAAAAAATATATCAAGAAAACCAAATAGTGAACAAACTACCTCAAACAAAGTACCAAATCTTAGGCAACTCATTCCTCTATTCCATAATCCAAGCGTTGAAGGAGTTAACAAGTTTTCCTGAGTTTCATAGACCCAGCTCTACACAGTTCTAGACCGGACATTAATATTCACTTACATCCATAGTAAAGAATTGAGGAAGGGAGAGCAAACATCATCCACGTTTATGAAGGCGATCAAGCAATCACGAATTGCAATCATCATTTTTTCCAAAGACTATGCCTCTTCATTATGGTGTTTGGAAGAGGTAACAAAAATCATAGAGTGCAAGATGCAAAAGGACCTGATTGTGTTGCCATTGTTTTACAAAGTGGAACCAAGAGAGGTGAGAGGGCAAAGACAACTATAGAGAAGTTATGACTAAGCATAAGGTCAAGTTCGGAAAGGATTGAGAGAAAGTAAAGAGATGGCAGAAAACTCTTCTTTATGCTGGTAGCTTATTGGGGTTGCATTTTACTTATGGGTACGTGAGAACACTTCTACTACTTCAAATGTAGCCTATATTTGATGAATAAATGATATTAGATTTATAAAATGATTATGCATAGTCTTTACAATTAAATGGAACATTTTTTAAATAGGAAAGACAAGAATAAGATTTTTTGTGTGAAAAGGTCAGCAAGGAGCGCTCGCACACGTGGAGCCACATGTCACTTCCTGATTAAGCGAGGGCCACGTTGACGTGGAGGGGCCAATCTACCCAATATTTTCTCCTCCCCTCTTGAGGCTAACTATAAAAAAAAATTCAAAAACTAAAAATTGTCTTTGGTCTTGATCATCAAAGAGTTGATTATGCAAGGATGAGATAATTGATTTTCGCATTTTCACTTTCGTAGAGGCATATTAATAGGATGTGCATCTCACGTGCAACTTTCGTGCACGTGACATGCACGCACTCATTTTGGTTGTATTGATGAAGAGAGCAGACCCCTCTCTCCCTTCTTGGTCTTGATCCATCAAAGAGTTGATTATGCAAGGAGGAGATAATGGATTTTCGCATTTTCACTTCTATAGAGGCATATTAATAGAATGTCCATGTCACGTGCGACGTCGCACGTGACATGGACATTCTATTAATATGCCTCTATAGAAGTGAAAATGCGAAAATCCATGCAGCTTACCCATTCACTCCAGAAAAGTTTGCAGAGCTCGCAGAGATAGAGAAGAAAAGGGAAGAATCTCAGACCTTGGAGTCGATCTTGGTTTCAGGGGATCTGGATTTCGTCATTGGAAAGGATGGAACCAAGGTAAATTTGTTCTTTCAACTAGAAGCTAATGACTAGGAAATTTTTAATGTCTACAATGAGGCCCCAAATATTGTTGTCCCTCGGGTTACTTGAGCTGAGGAAAGGATTGAAACGAGGTCTATAGCTAGGAAAATCCGTTCCATATATGCAGTTTTCACGTGCCTTATCCATCCATTGGTGGTCATTTAAAATGTTGTTTCTTAACTTCGAGTGCAGATTCCGGTCTCGGACTTGGTGGGGAAGACTGTCCTTCTGTACTTCTCGGCACACACTGGTGCCCTCCTTGCCGTGCATTCCTGCCGGTGCTTACAGAGGCATACGAAAAGATCAAGGCCACAGACAATGCCTTTGAGGTGATCTTCATCTCCAGCGACAAGGACCAAACTGCCTTCGACGATTATTTTGCTCAGATGCCGTGGCTGGCGCTCCCCTTTGGTGACGAGAGGAGAAATTCCTGAGTCGCAAATTCAAGGTCGAGGGGATCCCCATGCTCGTAGCCATAGGCCCAACGGGCCAGACGGTGACTAACAAAACAAGGGATCTTATAATGGAGCACGGGGCTGATGCTTATCCTTTTACCGCCGAACATCTCAAGAAGTTTGAGGAAAAGTTCAAGGAAAGTATAAAAGGCTGGCCAGAGAAGTTGGAGCATCCTTTGCATGAAGAGCACGAGCTCGTTCCTGCTCGGAGGAGAATGTACATTTGTGATAGCTGCAATGAGGCAGGGGAGGTGTGGTCATATTATTGCGAGGAGTGTGACTTTGATCTCCATCCAAAATGTGCTGTTGGAGAAGAGAAAGCGACTAAAAACGAGTCGGATGAAGACAATGAAGCAGCACAGAAGTCGCACGTGATATGCACGTGCTCACTGCCTGCTAAAATTTATGTTAAATAAAATGTTATTGAAAAGACAAATGTAAAATAGCTCATCCTTAAGCACCATCATTTTCCGAAATTAAAATATTATTGAAAAGACCTACTACTTTTCTTTGTTGACCCACGAAAGAAGAAGTCATGCATCTGGTATAAAAAAATATATCAAGAAAACCAAATAGTGAACAAACTACCTCAAACAAAGTACCAAATCTTAGGCAACTCATTCCTCTATTCCATAATCCAAGTGTTGAAGGAGTTAACAAGTCTTCCTGAGTTTCATAGGCCCAGCTCTACACAGTTCTAGACCGGACATTAATATTCACTTACATCCATAGTGAAGAATTAAGGAAGGGAGAGCAAATATCATCCACGTTTATGAAGGCGATCAAGCAATCACGAATTGCAATCATCATTTTTTCCAAAGACTACGCCTCTTCGTTATGGTGTTTGGAAGAGGTAACAAAAATCATAGAGTGCAAGATGCAAAAGGACCTGATTGTGTTGCCATTGTTTTACAAAGTGGAACCAAGAGAGGTGAGAGGGCAAAGACAACTATAGAGAAGTTATGACTAAGCATAAGGTCAAGTTCGGAAAGGATTGAGAGAAAGTAAAGAGATGGCAGAAAACTCTTCTTTATGCTGGTAGCTTATTGGGGTTGCATTTTACTTATGGGTACGTGAGAACACTTCTACTACTTCAAATTTAGCCTATATTTGATGAATAAATGATATTAGAATTATAAAATGATCATGCATAGTCTTTACAATTAAATGGAACATTTTTTAAATAGGAAAGACAAGAATAAGATTTTTTGTGTGAAAAGTTCAGCAAGGAGCGCTCGCACATGTGGAGCCACGTGTCACTTCTTGATTAAGCGAGGGCCACGTTGACGTGGAGGGGCCAATCTACCCAATATTTTCTCCTCCCCTCTTGAGGCTAACTATAAAAAAAAATTCAAAAACTAAAAATTGTCTTTGGTCTTGATCATCAAAGAGTTGATTATGCAAGGATGAGATAATTGATTTTCGCATTTTCACTTTCGTAGAGGCATATTAATAGGATGTGCATCTCACGTGCAACTTTTGTGCACGTGACATGCACGCACTCATTGGCTGCTAAAATTTATGATAAATAAAATATTATTGAAAAGACCTACTACTATTCTGTTGAGTTTTGAGAAAAAATATATTCCATGACATCAAATATGGATGCATGCTCGTTCCTTGAAGTTCGCATCATTCAGATTGAAGTACCACCTGAACCGGCCTTAAGAAGGTCCACACGACTAACAAGATCACTTGAGAGGTATACCCTATTTGCTAGTAATGAGAATTGTGCTTTGACTATTATAGGTGATGATCCAAGTACTGTCAAGAAAGCTAGAAGCTCAGAGGATACCAAACAGCGGGAGAAAGCCATAAAAGGTGAGATGGACTCACTAGATAAAAACGGAACGTGGAGTTTGGTAAAACTTCCTTCAAATTAAATGGCAATTGGTTGCAAGTGGGTGTTCACGAAGAAGACGTCAGCAGATGGAGAGATAGAATGATACAAAGCTCGTTTGGTTGCGAAGGGATACTCGCAGATAGGGAGAGCCGATTATGGTGAGATTTATTCCCCCGTTGCTAAATTGAATTCCTTAAGACCTGTCTTATTTGTAGCAGCTGCATACAATTTGGAGGTAGAGCAGCTTGATGTGAAGACATCATCTCTCCATGGTGACTTTGAGGAGGATATTTACATGAAACAATTAGAAGGGTTTCTGGTCAAAGGAAAAGAAGATCTTGTTTGCAAATTGAACTAGTCTTTGTATAACTTGAAGCAATCTCCAAGGATGTGGTACCAGAAGTTCGACTCATATATCTTGAAGCTTGACTTTGTTCGTTGTGATGCTAATCATTGTGTCTATGTGCAAAGGTTACAAAATGATTTTATTATCTTAACCTTATATTTTGATGATATGCTGCTAGTAGGGAACGGTTTGTGAATGATTAGCACTATAATAGGAATGTTGGCAAAACATTTGGAAATGAAAGATTTAGGCACAGCAAACTTCATTTTAGGCATGCAAATAAAAAAGGAGTGTGAGAATGGGAAGTTGTGGTTAAGTCAGAAGAAATATATTGAAAGTATGCCAAAGAAGTTCAACATGGCTAACTATAAACCAGTAAGACCCTCATGTCCACAAGTTCCAAGTTGTCAACACTTAAGTGTCCTAAGACGGAAGAAGAGATGGTAACAATCCCATATGCAAGCACAATTGGGAGCTTGACGTATGTCATGGTGTGTAGTCATCCAAATATTGACCAAGCAGTGGGAGTATTAAGCAGTTATTTGTCCAATCCGGGGAAAGAACAAAGCGGGTGCCTCATTATCTTCACAGTACATCTGACTTTGAGCTATGTTATGAAGGTATGAAAAGCTCAAAGAGACAGCCAGCATTAGAACTGAAGTCTTTTATGGATGTTGATTGGGGAGGTAACATTGATAGTTGGAAGACATGTTGTTTCCTTATTCGGCGGAGCTGTGAGTTGGATGAGTAAGAGGTAGAGCACGGTTGTTTTATCTACTACTGAGGCAGACTACATGGCCCTTGCTCCTGTTACTAAAGAAGCAATATGGATGCGCAGATTGTGTAAAGAGCTTGGTTTTACGTAAGGAGGAGTGAAGATTGGGTGTGATAACCATAATGTTATATTTTTGGCTAAAAATCCTGGATTTCATGCAAGAACAAAGCATATCAGCATACAATATCACTTTATGCGAGAGGAAGTGGAACAAAAGGTTGTAATGCTAGAGAAAATTGATACATAGATGAATAGTGCATATTTTTTGACTAAGATAGTGAGTGCAGAAAAATTTGAATGGTGTATAACTGTGTTAGGATTAAAGAAGCGTGTGAAGTATTTACCAAGTGGAAGAATGTTGGGGTGTAGTTCATACTCCCATCAACTGTGTTTGAGCTCGAAAAAGGAAAGTTTCCTAATTCAAGTAAGTTTTCTATTTTGAATATGTTTTCTAATTGAATGATTTTCTAGAAAGAGGTTTCCTATTTCAAATCAAATTATTGCCTATATATATTTTCTTTCTCTTGTAATTGAGGAATATAACAAAAAGATGCGATGTACTAATTATAGTGAAATCCTTTGCTGGACGTAACCCTAGTATTAAGGTAAATTAAGATAAAAACCTTGTGTCTCCGGTTGCATCTAATAATTTTCCCATTAATTAAGTGTTTTAAACTAAAAGCCCGAGTTGACCCGGTTGGAGTTGATCGGCCACTAGCCTATGTCCAAGCGTGTAGGTCGATTCATGATCACGTTTTGTCTTTCATAAGAAAAAATGACAACGAGCTTTGACAAGGAAATAGATGTCAATTTTCTTGAACTTATGTGTTTTAGATTCATAACGCTTTGTATGGATCTTGCGACAATGAAATGAACTCATGTTGACAGCATATGGTAGGTGGACTCTCAAATACAAGAGAGAACCACACCAAAGGAATCGGCCAAGTTGAGTGGACCATAGACCTTTTGGAGGGAGTGCACCCAAATGGTCGCGTCCGTCCGCAACACCTCATCTTTTAGCTAAAAATCAACACGAGCGTCAGCTTACGTAAGAAAGACCTCTCACATTGAATGTCTAGAGTCGAAAAGAAGCAATTGATGATATCTAATCGGTCATTAACTCTATGGTTTAAATTTATAAGGGAAGGTGAATCCAAATTGATTGTCGATTGGCTCAACTTATGGGCTCCCTCTCAGATCTCTCTATTATGCAGTTATTACACTTTTGCGGAGGCATCATTTGCGCAACCCCGGATTCTCTAATGATACAATCTTGAGTCTGTTCTTCGTCTCGTGTGACACAGAAGATGGTGCATGAGAGTAACTCAGATGAGTGCCGCACCAGATAAGTCATTGGGCTTATGCACAAGAAGGTGAGAGTAGAGAGATGAGTCGATCAAACGGAGCACACACCATGCCAAAAAAAAGGGGAGGGGTTTGGTGGGTGTTTTGGGCCCGGGAACGAAGGTGTAGAGGAGGTTTCTGGGAAACAGCGTAGGCGGAAAAACGTGTTTGAGGGTTCTATGCCAATGACAATAGCAACGGCGTAATCGAGCACCTTAGTCTTAATAAATCCTAATAAACTTCTGGGTTTGGATATGCTTATCGGTCCGGTTCGGTTAGTTAATCTCTAGTAATTCTGGGTGCACATAAATGTCGTAGAAAAGTTTACTAAAACAGTGCTGCGCGTGTACAAAAGTTAGTTTACTAAGATTTGGTAATTACATGTGGTACACGTGGCACTGTAAGATACTAATCGATCTCTTTCATCACTTTTGACTTTTCCTCTAATTCGATGGGTTTGCGTAATACTGTGGCCCAGTGGAATTTGAGCACCATTGAAATACGTTGGCCCAAAATAGCCTCGAGTTGGCAAGAGGGCAATTAAGTTGTGGCCTTGTTGCTAGGACATAGCCATGCAAGTAGTCGATTTTGGGAGCCTAAAAACGTGAGATCCACAACCACGATCACGGACCGCAGGAATTTTTGGGCAATGATTGCAATAACGATTTGAAAGAAAACATAAATTTGTGAACCCGTTGCATTTAGCATTTGATGATTGAATGCGTGGATGAGAATGTTGCTTTGTGACTCATGAGAGCACCTAAAACTCTTTTTCACTGGCCGCGTTACCTGATCATAGGTGGTGATGACGTGCAGATCTAAAGGCCACTGACATTGGGCCGAAGCGGTTGGGCTGACCCCAAGCCTCGATATGGTAAACAAGGAAATTTCTAGATTTTATTTAGGAAGACCCTCGTATACTTAAATTAATAAAGGAAACATAAAGAGTAACGCAGAAAGAGAGAGCTAAAAGAGGTAGGAATGAGAAATACCACAATGTTGTCCTACCCTTTTCTATTTATAGGCTTGCTCTAAACGTTACCCCCACGTGAGTCCCTTCAATGAGCCTCTGCCATCTCGTGTCATTAAAGATTTGCATGTTTATCAATCGAGAGGATATGATTGGCGCGGTGAGATAAGATCGTCTGGGTCTTTTTTTTGTGCAAAACTGAACTAACCTAATGACTCTGAAATGGTTATTTGGTGTTGTAAAATCCGGAATGGGAATTAGCAATCATCGTACACAATCCCTCTTATATACTCTAAGGCTATGTTTGGTAGTTTGGATTTGAGTCCATATAGGATAATAAAATATCCTATCCAATGTTTGGCGACGTCTTTTGGACTGGATATACCCGGATAAAATGCCGGATAAGAAATATGGGCTAGGAGGTGGGATAGACTAGGTTTGGGTAAAAAAGTGAAAAAAAAAAACATAACAATTTCTTTCCAACTATGAAGTGATGGAGTCTGGCTTCGCCGACCATCGCGTAAGGACCGTCACCACAATAACCTATAACTCCTGACCACCATGCAATCGTCATTGTCTCCGACCAATGCGGATCATCATCGCTATCTAGCCAATTCTCCTTTGGTGACTGTCAAACCAAACCGGATATTGCTGATGAATGACCTAATATCGATGGATTGACTCGAAAAGTCGTCTTTGAAAAAGAAGAAGAAAAACAAAAACAAAACGTACGAAGTTTTGGGTGTTCATGGTGGTCATCTAATTTTGCCGTGATGCTTCGACGTCCAATCCAGTCCTCTACTTAGATCTGAGACTGTATATTGACAATCGGAAGACTTCAAAGGAGAAGGAGGAGGAGAAGGAGCTTTGGCAAAAACGGTGATTGCTCAAAATGATGCAAGTCTTGTTCGTGCGAGATTACGTCAAGCGGATTCTGTCTTATATTTGGATAGTATTACCTTTGTAAGCAAGTGAGATTTTCAAAGATTTTGAATCCTATCTTAGATTGCACCAAACATGATAAAGGATATTTTTGCAATCCGTCGGATAGTTGAAGGATTTTTAATCGTACCTTATCGTATCCTATCCCAATCCCAAATTGGGATAGGATAGGATAAAGGGGATTTGAAATCCTCTAAATATTTTTCGGATTATAGAAATTTTTTATCATATGTTTGGTGCAACTTATGATAGGATTTGAAGATGGAGCTACTACGGTGGGGGAAACATAATGGAGGAGGGCGAGCTACAGAGCGAAATGGAGGAGGGTGACCTCTTCCATTAAACAAAATTCTTAACTAAAGGCGAGGGGGATCTCACTGGCATTTCATCAAACACTTAGTGAGAACCTAGTTCAGAGTCGACCAAGAGAGAGATCATCGAACAATGGAGGCCGAGAATAAGTAAACGGAGGTGAAGTAGGGAAAAGAACCAAGAGATGACTCGGTGATGGTGGAAAAGTTGGAAAACCAATTACAAAAGAGAGGGACCCATGGATGAGGTGGTGAGCTCTAGCCTTCCAAGTGAGCCGTAAGCAAGGCACTGGTGAGGATACTTGAGGATGCCGGAGTGAGGGACAGTCGTGGTAGACGGCCATCAAAGTGATGGTGGGTGGCTACCTGTAAGAAATGCCAAGGACGGTAAGTCACGCCTAAGGTGGGGTTTTCCTAGTACGTGGGAATTGTTAAGTTAATATTTAGAATTTTATATCCAATCCGAAATTATCCCACCCACTATGCCAAATTTCTTATCTAGCATTTTATCCGGTGTATCCAGGTTTATCTAATCCGGAGAACGTCACTAATCACTAGATAGGATAATTGTTATCCTGTCCGAACCTATTCGGACTCAAATTCAGACCACCAAACGCAGCCTAGAAGAATAAAAAGTAATAAGGGAAGTTCA